ATAAGCGCTAATAGGGTGTCTTTTGTTGTTCATCAGGAACCACTTTCAACCACACCTGAGTTTATGTTAATGAGGTTAAGTTCTGGAAAGCCCCTGAGGATGGGGGCTTGTTGCCAGGGAAATCAACCACCTGATGACCTCTGGGGAGGGGACAGGAGCTGGAGGTTGAGTCAGTCACCAATGAATTCATCAATCTTGTCTTTGCAAACCCTCCCTAAAGGCGTCCATAAAACCCTAAAGGACAGGGTTTGGAGCACTTCCGGATTGGTGAGCATGCAGAGCTGGGAGAGTGGCAACCCCAGGAGGCATGGGGGTCTCCATGCTCCCCTCCCTGCACCCCTTCTGTTTTTTCTCGGATTATATCCTTTTATAATACATTGGTTATCTGGCAAGTAAAACATTCTCTGAGTTCTGTGAGCCAATCAAGTAAAGTAACTGGACCCAAGGAGGGGTTGTGGGAGCCTCTGGCCTGTAGCCAGTTGGTCAGAGGCCTAAGTGACATCCCAGACATGCTGGTGCTTGAAGTTGGGGACAGTCTGTGGGCTCTGAGGCTAAACTGGTGGTCTAGATAACTTGGAACCAAGTTGCTTGATGATATTATAAAATACACATTGGTTCTTTCCAAAATAAGCAAATAAATCTTTTTTAAAAAATGCAGGAGGTGCCTGAGTGACTCAGTTGGTTGAGCACCTGACTCTTGATTTTGGCTCAGGTCAAGATCTCAGGGTTGTGAGATCCAGCCCCATGTCAGGCTCTGTCCTCAGTGGGGAGTCTGCTTGGGATTCTCCACCTCCCTCTGCCTCTGCCTCTGCCACCGCACCCCCCGCCATGCTCACGCACGCTCTCTCTCCAAAATAAATATATACATCTTTAAAAAATACACACATTGGAAAACATCTGCTGAAACTCTCAGGAAACTTGACAAATGATCAAAAACTCCTATTGAAGAAGTGAAGGTGTACACAACACTAAGACCCTTATTTAAAAAAGCTATTTATTGTAAAAATGAAATTTAGATACTCTAAAGCTCACCAAAAAAACCCCCCACAAAACATAGCTTCATGAATTCTGACAGAGCAGAACGCCGATCACCACCAGGTAGCAGGTCCCCAGCTAAGCCACGTGCCTCGCTCGCCCAGAACCGGCCCGCTGGCTTCTTGGCATTTCTTCACTGGTTTCACCACCCGGATGAGCCCCACACACAGACTTGAGGCTGGCCTATTTTTCAAACTTGGCTTGTCTGCTCTGTCGTTTTGTCTACACGTCTCCTCCTCCTTTTGCAGAATCAGGCTCTTTGTCGTGCCAGGCATCCCTGGGGCACGGCCGCACCCACCCTCAGGCCCCTGCATTTCTGGCAAATGGGCCACAGGACCCCGAGGCCCGACTGTGCTCAGGGTCCAGTCCCTGGCAGGACTAGCGCTGCCGCCAGACGCCTTCAGGAGGATGCCTGGCTGTGTGGCCTCCACCAGGTTTGACACTAGCGTTACCCACACTCAGGTCGTTGGGAGGCGCAAAATGGTGACACCATTCTACCGTTTTGTTTCCACCTATTAGCTGGAACTTCCTCCAGGGTGGCATTCCCAGAAAAAAGGCAGGGTCAAGGCTGGACTTCCAGCTTTCGAGGTGAGCACTTGGTTCCCTGTCATCTGCAGAAGATGAAGAGTTTCTTTTTTTAAAAAAAAAACAATATCGTTATGAATATGTGTGTTCACACAGGTTGCAATTTATTGACTTTTTTTTTAAGCTCAAATGATATCCTCTTGGCTAATGGGAACTTCTTCAGGTTGGCTCCAAGTACTTTTATTTTTTTTTAAGATTTTATTTTTAAGTACTTTCTACACCCAACATGAGGCTCGAACCCACAACCCCTGGATCAAGAGTTGCTTGCTCCTGTGACTGAGCCGGCTGAGTGCTCCCTAAAGTTCTGCTGACATGGACCAAAGTCTTGGAGAGCGTCCTTGCTCTCCGGTATGACAGGACGTCCTAGGTTCTTCTAGTACATTCTCTGCCCCAGACTGGGAGGCAGCCACTTCTCCGGGAAGCCCTGCCTGGTTTCTTTAGGTGGGAAATGGTGTTTTGTGGCTGCAGCCTGGACACGGGGGAGGCTCCTGGCTCCACACTGGTCATTGGTTCTGGGATCTTCCTGTGGAACGGGCAACGATGTATGTACATAAACGCAAGGGTGACTCCTGGGGTCACGTGTCCCCTACCAGTTCATAGTAAAGGTTTCACATGACCTTTGCTACGTGACATCTGTTTCTCGGCTCTTCCGTGCAGAGAAGGCTGACCCCCAGGAACACGGGAAATAGAGGGCAAGCCCAGCCTGCCATCCGCTACACCCCATGTCACATACTCCAGTCCTGGCCACAGCAGTAACCATCAGGGTGAGAAGTGGTAAAAACAGGTCTTGGCATAAAATCGTCTTATTCTTTACTCATTTCTTATGTCTGTCGCCACCTATATAATGAGCATAAAGCCATGACGTCCCATACTCTCTCCCTCTTAACATACGGCCCGTGCGCAGCTAGCCTCATGCAGGGCCCACACCGTTTCTGACGTTTGCCCCATGGGTCTGCTTGGCTGCCCAAAGCTCGTCCCCTAGCAGACGCCTCACAGGGCTCTGGGGTCGGTATCCCCAGTGTCTCTGCTCGTACAGTGCCGGGAGGTCGCTATTCTGGTACTGGAATATACTTGAGGGATGCCCGGGGGGCTCAGCAGGTGAGCGTCTGGCTTTGGCCCAGGGTGTGACCCCAGGGTCCCGGGATCGAGTCCTGCATCGGGCTCCCCACAGGGAGCCTGCTTCTCCCTCTGCCTGGGTCTCTGCCTCTCTCTCTCTCTGTCTGTGTCTTTCATGAATAAATAAATAAAAATCTTAAAAAAAAAAAGAAATACACTTGACATGCAACACTGTAAATTTAAGGTGCACCCCCTGGCCTCACACATTTATACATTGTGGCTCGGTTCCCGATGTGTCCACGATGTGTCCACCACACCCGTATTGTGCCACATAATTATCATTTCTTTTCTGTGGCTGCAATAATGAGCGACTTTGATGACTGAAATACAATTTTCCTGCCATATTCACGGCGCTGCGCATTCCATTTGTCTGTTTCCTTCCACTGGAAAATGTTGGAAAGTCTTTCCGTCATAATTGCCTGCTCTTGTTGCCTACATGCCCAAAAGATTTTTCTCTCTCTCTTTAAGGTCCTTTCACTTTACTGGACTATGTCTTGGTGTTTGATATTCGGGACCCTGATATTCAGGACTCTTGGGCATATGGTTTGCCTTCACCATAGCTAGTTTCAAGAAAAAATTTTTTGATCTTCTGAGAACTGTAGTTCTCAGTATTTATTTCTTCTGTCACCTTGAGTTTCCTCTTCAGCATCTATAGTTGGGACTTTGTTGGCCTGTCTGCAACACTTGCCGTTTATTCAGACATCATTTTAATCTCTTTCTTCTTTATTTTTAAAAATAGCCTCCTTTCGCCTTGTATTTCTCTTGGGTTTTTAATATTCGGGTCTGTTCACTCTTGGGTTCTTCTAGTATAGTCTTCATCTCTGAAACTACTTTTCCTTTATTTCTAATTCTCTCTGTTGTCACCTCAGCTTCGAGAATTTCCAGATTTTGTTCATATGCATCATTTTCTTGGGTATTCCTACCATTTTGAAATGGAATGTTACAGTTTGGGGAATCTTTAGCGAGACCTTCTGGTGCACTTCCATCGCCTTTGGGATGTCATTCCTAGTGTCTTTTTTGTTATCATGGATGGTCTGGAATTTGTCCTTGATCCCATTGTTGCTTCTGTGGTTCTGAATGCAGTTTTCCGAGCTCTGAGAGGGCTGCTCGGTCGTGCTGCTTTCTGGCCACACAGCTCCCTCTCCTGGCGAGCTTGTGGAGTGTGTAGCAGGGTGGATGGCCCGCCAGGATCTTAGCTCTGTCCCCATGTCCACGTCCCCTGTACCTCGTCTCCAGCCTCTGTTGTCTTGGCAGCACCCCCAGCTGCGCCGCCTCACCCGGGGGTCCCGGAGCTGCCGCGGGTCTGGGCGGGCAGGTGCGCTTTCCCGCAGGCACTGACGGCCAGGCCCCAGCTCCCCAGCACAGCCACAGGTAAGGCCGCTCACCTAGGGGCACGGGAGGGAGCCGCACCTCGGTGCCCCCTCTCTCCAGGCTGCACCTGCGGGCTCCGGCACGTAGGAACACAAGCCGCGGGGCAGTTTAGGAAAAGAAGCAACGAGGAGGGGATCCCGCGGCTAGCGGCTGTGAGGACCTGAGATCACAGGGGGCGCTGGGTCAGGGACCCCCTCCTCCAGCCCCCCGCCCCTCCCCCCCGGGGCTGGAACACCAGACCCCCCTGCAGGTGGAGCTCCAGGCAGCATCACAGTTGCATCCCTACCTCACCCCACAGTGGAAACCACCCCCAGCGAAAAAAAGAGCAAAATGAAAACAAAACTTTCAGAAGTATGTCAAGGCATCAGGGCAGGAAACACAGGGACTTAGGGGGGCTACGATCACATTGAAGTGGAAAGGGTGTGAATGGCCTTTGGAGGCCAAAAGGAAAAAGAGAGGGGCCCTCAGGAGTGACCCGGGCCGGAGCACCGCCGCCCCATGTCCTGGGGCCACAGACGCAGCAGCCACGAAAGACAAGAATGCTATAGTTACATGGGTGTCATTTCGTGTTGGACAAAATACCAAAGTTGCTAAGGGGAAGTGGGGGTTTCCGTATGTCGCTGGTTGGGGGTGCAAACTGGCGTGGCCACTTCCATAAAGAAAGGTGGCGTCCTCCAATTAAATAGGAACACGGAACTCTCTCTGGCAGGTGCACAGCTGGGGGCCTTGCCCACGTGCATCAGGTGGTGGGCAGGGACCCCCGAGGGACACTCTGTCCTGTGCGGCAGGCAGGGGCAGGCCAGTGGTGTCGCAAGGACGACAGGGTGACCCTGGTGACCAGGGTGTACGAGGGCCACAAAGGCACCTGCCCCCTCTGCCTGAGATGTACTCACAGTTCACTCGGCTCCTGCAGGCGAAGCCCTGGGGACAGAACAACGACAGAGGGTGAGAGGTCAGCCTGGCCGCTTCTGGTCCTTCCCCAGAAGCCAGCCCCAGGGGGCCAGGCAGTCACCTGGCCCCTCACCGTCAGCGGGGCTCGGGGTGCTACATCCCCCGGTCGTCCTTGGTGTTGGGGGTCCTGGCTCTGCATGCAGCACTCATTCAGTAAATGGTGTGACCTGGCCCCTGGACCAGCGGGCTCCCTCCCCCAACTACACCCGCACTTCTGCTGGTACTGGAAGCTCTTGGGGCCCCGTTCCTTCTCCAGGGCACTGATTAGGTGCCGGGGTCCCCAGTCAAAGAAAGAGCCGGGAGAGCCTGCCTTTGAGGAGCTCACATTCCAGGCGGGGACACAACCCGGAATGTAGTCGTCAGCAGGGTCTATTTTATGTTAGACGTTGAGAAGGGCCGAGGGGGGGCAGCCGAGGGGGCAGCGCGGCGGGTTCAGGGCAGCCCTGCCAAGGAGGTGAGCCCTGGGCGGCCGGGAGGGACCCTGTGCACCTGATCTGGCGCAGCTGTCTCCCCTCCGGCCTGACCCAGGGCCGCAGGGGGTGGGTGGACTGGGGCTGGGCTTTGGGTGGGCGGCCAGCCGGCAGGCCTCGATCCGCGGTGGGCAGTGGGCCCCCCAGCCAGTGGGGGGGGGCTCGGGGTGCTGCCCTGGGAGGCTGAGCCCCGGCTCCCGGCGACACCAGGTGGTGGCAGGCAGGAGCAGCGACGGAGCCCTCTGTCCCCCAGAGAACTGAGCCCCCAGGACCCTGACAAAAACCCCGAGCCCCTGCCCTCCTGGTGGCCACCTGGAGGACGGAGCCGGCCACACCTGCCCCGGGATTCCAGCGCCTGCCCCGCTGCGACCCGCTTCTCTCTCGGGGACAGTGTTTGCAAAGAGGCGCAGTCGGTTCTCCCCTAAGGCACCCTCTGCCCGCGGGGTGAGAAGGGTGGCCACGGGGCTGGGGCTTCCGCTCCACTTGGTTTGCTGTTTGGCGTCTTGGCGTCACTCAGGGGGGCGGGCTGAGTCCCCGGGACACCCCCAGAGCGAGCCTCGCCACCCGGGGAACAAGGGGCCAGGGCTGGGGTGCAGGCCCATACGCAGCCCCAGTGCCCGCTGGAGGCCTGGTGGCCTGGTCCTGGGCCTCCCTCGCCACCTCCTCTCCGCCGGCGGCCTCGGCTATCCTGGGCGACCTGAACACCCCTGCCCCCCATCCCCCAGCTCAAAGACAGAGGGGGCCCAGCTGCTTGCCTCACAGGCTGGGCACCTCCTACCCTGGGGGACTGGCCCCAGGCCCCAGCCACTGTCCCCTGCAGGTGGGTTCTGTGGCGGCTGGCTGCCCTTCAGGGCCCGACCCGTCCTCCCAGACACAGGACAAGGGGCCAGCAGGGAAGAGCTCAGGTTGAGGGCACCCGGAGGCCCAGGGTCCTGACCCCGGGCTGGAGGGAGCCGGTGGGGGGGCAGGGTTGGGGGCTGGCTGGGAGGGGGGAGCGGGGCGGGACAAAGCTGTGGCCACCCCCACCTCCCTGGGGTTTTCCGTTGGGTTTCTCGGGGCTTCCCATGCAGTCCCCAGGGGTGGGGACTGTCTGGGGAGAGACTCCTCAGGCCCAGGTCTCTGGGCAGGGCCTGTGTCCCCCCCCCCCAGCCCCCCAGCCGACCCCCAGAGCCAAGGGCCTGCCTGGGTTGGACTCCTCCCGGCTCCCTTCCTGTGGGGCTGATCCCCTCCCCAGGGCCCAGGACCCTGGCCCCCAAGCCACCGGGGAGCGCCCCCTGGTGCCCCAGTCAGCCCCCTCAGGCATCACAGGCCTGTGCTCCTGCCCCCCCCCAGCCCTCCCTGGACAACTTTTCACCCAAGATATGGCAAGGCCCAGAGCTGTCCTCCTGGGGCGCCGGTGGCTGGGGTGGGTCTCTGTGCCCTTGTGGGGGCAGCCACAGGCTTCCTGTCCCCTGGCTTCTCCAGCTGGAGTCCAGCCTCCCTCGGCTCCCTGCCCTCCTCCTCTTCGAGCCTGAGCCTGCCCGCAGCGCCCCCGGCCCCCCCACCTCCTGGGGGCCGCCTGCTCCCCCATCCCCTGAGGCACCCCTACCCTCCACCCCCTGCCGCACCCCCCGCCCCCCACACCCCAGGGGCCACCTGCCCCCCCCAGCCCACCCCCTGCGGCACCCCCACCCCGCCACCCCCGGCAGTACCCTCACCCCCCCAACACCTGCCACCCCCCCGCCCCCCACCCCCCCAGGGGCCACCTGCCCTCCCACTCCCTGTGGCACCCCTACCCCCCACCCCCTGCTGCACCCCCCGCCCCCCACCCCCCAGGGGCCACCTGCACCCTCAGCCCCACCCCCTGTGGCACCCCCACCCCCCACCCCCTGCCTTGCCCTCCGTCCCCCTGGGGCTGCCTGCCACCCCCGTCCCGCCCCACCCCTGCAGGGTAGCAGGGTGGCTGCAGCTCCCGGGCTAAGTCCAAAGTCCCTCCTGTGGGGTCAGCAGCGTCAGGGCAGGGAACGCCCCTCCTCTTGCCCTGTCCCCCTCCAGCCCCCTTCTCCTCCTTTTTCCTTAGGATTCTCTCCTCCTCACACCTCTGGTGGGGGGGCTCCGTCCTACCCCCATCCCAAAATGGGGCCCGTGCTGGCCTCGCCCTGACCTCCACTCATACCCACCCGGCTGCCCCCCTACCACCAGCTCACGCCTGACGGGCTTCCCAAACCCCACATCTCAAAACCAAGTTGCCTCCCCCAAAACCTGCCCCCCCAGGCCTCCCACCTCCCACGTCCAGCAGCTGGAGCTAGAGTCGTGTGCCAGGGTCCACTGTGACTTGTCCTTGTGCACCAGGACCCCAGCGGCCCAGCCCCACCCGCAGAGTGCACTTGGAGCAGCTCCTCCCGTTCTGCACCTTCACCGTGGGTGGGGTCCCGACCACCACCCCCAGCCCCCAGCCCGCCACCATGCCCCTGCCCCTGACCCTGACCCAGCTGTTTCCTCTGCACCCACGGTTCCCACCAGCGGCCAGAGGGAGCCTCTCGGCCCCCCAGGGGTCCCTGCACCTCTGATCCCAGCCTGGCCCCCGGCCCCCCCAAGCCCTCCCGTCCCCCACTGAGCTCCCTGGACCCTCGGCTGGACCCACTCCCAGGGGTTGCCGAGCTGTCCCTCCTCCCAGAAGAGGCCGGGGTGTCCCCCGTGTCCTCCAGGGTGGCTTGGGCACCGCCCCTGGAAGGCAGGCCACCCTGTTTCCTCCCCGACGGTGGCCACCACATAGACCTTGTCTCGTTGTGTGCTACCACTGAGGACACATTCCCGAGCCACAGTACACACAGCAGGGGCTCAAAATTTCCTCCACCCCGGGTCCTTCACGTTCTGTGCCCGTGTCCCTGCCGCGTCCCCCACGGTCCCCGTGACGCCTGCTGGGCTGTGTCCCCACTCTGCTTCGGCCAGTCTTGGGCACCAGGGGGCACCTCCTGGGACACAGGCACACTTTCCAGCCGGGGCTGCAGGGCCGCCACCTGCAGGTGAGGTCAAGGGGGCCTGGCCTGCAGTGAACGGTCCCTGCCGTCCAGGACAGGACGAGGGACAGGACGGGGTGCTCCTGCAGCCTGCTCTCAGCAGGGCATCCACACGCCTCGGCTGAGACACGGTTGGTGGCAGCGGCGCGGGGCTCCTGGGAGGGGCCCGCCTGCACCCCGGGGCCCCTCGGCCTCCCCCACCAAGCGCCCAGGGCCTCCCGCCCGTGCCACCTGAGGGGAACGGGTCCCTAAGGAGGAGAGCCCGCTGGGGGCAGGAGAGGCCCCCCAGCCGCGGGCCGGGCAAGGCGGGCCAGGAGCTCACCGGAGAGCAGGAGACGCCGCATTCTGCGACCCGGGGCATCGCCAGGCCGCGGCAGGTGGTCCAGGTCAGGGAGAGGAAGAGCACGGCTCGCCCGGCCAGCATCCCAGCTCCCGGCTGCGAGCCAGGGACGGCGGGGTGGGGTGTGGGGCGGGCTCACGGGGCGCCTGGGACGGCTGCTTGCCTGGCAGCCCGCGGCTCCAGCCCAAACACAAGCTGGAGAGTCTCGAGTGAGTTTGTTCCCTGGGGCTGACACTCCCCATCCTGGTGGAAGAGAGCCCAAGTGGGCTGGTCACAACCACAACCCACAACTTCCTGCCGGGTCCTGGCTCGGGCTGTGGGGCCTCCAGACGCTGGCTGGACGCCCACGCCACCTCTGGGATGCCCTGGGTCTCTGGGGTTCCAGGTAAGCGGGTTCCCCGCAGGCCAGTCTCACATACCTGGTAAGGACTGGGGCCCTTGTCCTGATGCTGGGGACGGATGATGGCTGCTGGCCCTGGTGGTTCATCCAGCGGGGCGAGCAGAGAACTGCAGACTTCACAGGTGCCTGCATCCCGGGACCGCAGGCCTGAGCCCCCACACAGAACTCGCTCTTGGAGGGGGACCGGGGACTCCACGCCACTTCCCGAGGGCACCCGTCACCCCAGAGGTCAAAGCCCCATGGCCCGGCCTCGGCTCAGGATCACCCCATGCTCGTCTTCTCATTTGACTCTACACTTGCACATTTGCGGGCAGAAGCTTGGGGCACCATCCGCTCCGGCCTCAGCCTGGCCCGGGGAGCAAGAGGGGAATGCGGGCTCTGACCCCCCCGCCTCTGGCCTCCCCGGTGGGCTCAGCGCCCTGTGTCCTCCTCCTTCCTGCATCTGCTGGGCAGGTGTGAGCACCGCTGGTCCTGGGAGGGCACCAGCCCAGCAGCGGGAGACATGGAAAGGGATGCGTGGCCGGGGATCTGCCTGGAACCCCAACAGGGCCCCTCAAGTTGGGGGTGACCCTGAGTGGCACCGCCCCCAGCCTGAGCACCCCACAAGGTGGGTCCTGGGGGCCCTGCCTGCAGGCACAGCCACACCGGCCAGAGTGCTCCTTGGGGGTGGACTCAGGCTGAGAAGGAGCCTTTGCCCCACAGGATAGGGCCTGCCAACAAACACCCCAAACCACGGCCCCCGCTCCTGCCGCCCTGGCCCTGGAGCCGGAGCTCACACCGGCTCCCTCCATCCTGGGCCTGGGCCTCAACCCCGCCGCCACCTGCTCCACAGCATGAGTGCGTTGGGGCTTCTGGGGTCACTGCTGGGCTCTGGGCACCACATCCCACACTGCTGCCGACGCGGAGCTGCTGCCCGCCGCCCGGTGCTCCGGGGGCCCGCTGCCCAGAACAGCACGCCTGAGGCCAGGCTCTGTGCTGAGGAGCATGGCGGCAGCGGCTGGGGCGAGTCAGAGGAGAACGTGCTGCCCCCGGGACTCAGGCTGCGGAGACTCAGTGTCCACACCAGGCAGGGAGGGTGCAGGCCTTGCTGCAGGGTCCTCGAGGCCTGGACCTGGTGCCACAGCTGCTTCTCAGAGCCGCGGGACAAGTGGGAACTGCTGTGCCAGGGACTTCACAGGCACAGGGCCTCCTCAGAGCAAGGAGGCCTTGTGGCTGCGCAGGCCCAGGACGGGCCCACCTGCCAGATGACACGCCTGGCACCCCGAGTGTCCACCCCTGCGCCAAGGGGCTGCAGGTGACCAGAAGCGGATGGCCGCCGCGGTGGGGAGAGGTCCCTCCCCACTTGTCTGGGGGAGGAGGGCTCTGGCCCTGCCAATGTCCACACAGAACTGGCCCTGGGGACTCCTCGGGAGGCTCGGGGGGCGGGGGGCTGGGCCACCCCAGGCTGAGCCCAAAGAGGCTGCAGGGGCTCACCCTCCCCCCAGGTGTCTGTAGCCGGGCGGCCAAGGGCCCAGAAGACCCACTGTGGTTGAATCTGGGGGGTCTGGCCCGGGGGGCCCTGCACACCCCTCACCCAGCACCAGGTTGGAAGGAGACACTTGGTGCACAACCTGGACCCGCACGAGACTGTTGTTGAATAAATGAGGGAATAAGTGGGTGCCTTGCCCGAGCCCTGGGGCCGGGGGCAGGGGCCAGGGGCTGGCGAGGGGCGCCTTCCAGCAGAGGGGGCTCGGGAGGAGGGGGTGCCTGGAGGCTCCCCATGCTCCTCTGCCTGCGAGGGGCCCCTCTTCTGGGGGGTGCAGGGGTGGATGGGTGCGGGGCACAAGCTCGGGTTGGCGGGGGCTCCACAACAAATACCATGCGGGGGTGACACAATTTCGCTAAAATAGTTGTGTATGCAAGGTCTCTCATCCACGTGGAGGTTCCCAAAGACACTAGCCTCGTGCCAGAGGCCGCGGAGCCGGGTCCATGTGGTCCTCTCAGTCCTCGGTCCTCGGCGTCATGGGGTCCACGTGTTGCCGCCCCGGCCGCCTCCCAGGGCCACGAAGCGGGCGCCCTGCAGCACTGTGGCACAGAAGGAGCGGCAGCGCTTGCAGGCCCGGCTGCGCAGCAGTGAGCCCCGGCACAGGAGGCAGGGTGTGGGGGGGCCCCTGGGCAGCCCTTGGGGAGAGAGAGAGGGGCCCTGAGAGCATGCCCCCGGGGCATACCCGCTTGCCAGCCCACCCGTCCCACACAGATCCCCCCTCCCCCCGGCTCTCCCCCCGGACCCACAGGGCCAAGGGGTGTCCGGGCACATCATGTCTCGGGGCGAAGGCTGAGGGGATGGGGAGGCCACCGTGGCTCGGCTCCTGCACCCTCGGCACCCTCCGCCTCCCTGAGGTGGTGGGTGGTCCTAGGCAGGTGGACCGGGGGAGCCCCCCGCACCCTGACTGTCCCTCGGCCCCTGCTCCAGAGCCACCTGGGCGTGGAGGGGACTGCAGGATCCCCAGGCCTTTGGCCCCCTCCTGACTCCTCCCACTGGTGCCTCCAGCTCTTCTGAATCCACCCGGCCTCCTCCGCACAGGCTGTGCCCAGAGGACCTAGCTCCCCCTGCCCCGGTGGGCCTGAGCGCACACCCCTGGAGCTCAGGGGCACAGGGCTGGATGCCCAGATGCAGCCGCCCGTGCCCACCCCGAATGCGCTGGATCAGGACTCAGAGCCCAGGCAGGCCAGCGGCTGGAGGGGCTGCAATGGAAGACAGGAACGTCAGGGCCAGGGCCTTGCCAAGGGCTGGTGGGTGAGCCCTGGTTTCCGGGCAAGGCTGCTTTGCCCACTGGCTGCCTGGGGCGGGGAGGGCACAGGGCCTCACAGGCAGGCAGGCTGGTCTCTGCTGGCTCCCCAGGGCACCAGTGCACTGGCCCAGGCTGCGGTGGCCTTGTCGGGTGCGGGTGCTGTGGCCAGCAGGGCTGCAGATGGGTGGCCCAGCCATGGCTGTGGTGGGGGGCAGGGGGGCGCAGGCCACCTGGGGAGGCCACCCCTCCACCACTGTGCTAACGCGGCTGCTTTGGGAGGATCTCCACACGGCTCCTCTGACACCGGCTGAGTGAGGCCGGCAGGCAGGTGAGGGTGTGTGCCCCTTTCACGGACGGGCAGTCAGGGTCTCCAAGAACCCTGCAGCCTGGCCAGGCTCCCTCCACCCGAGTCCTCTGGGCCTCCAGCCTTTGCTCTTGCTCCAAGAACCACCGCCCCCCCCACCCCAGGTGTCTGTCTAGCCCTCTTGAGGGAGTAGCCTGGGCCTGTGCCGGGCTCCCTCCCTCCTGTGCTGCCCCTGGTGCCCGAACCCAGCCCACTTGCAGGCTGCAGCCTGTGCCGGGCTCCCCAGGCTTTCCCGGCCTCGGGGCCTAGGCACTCCCCAGCCGGCACCCACCCAGCCCAGGAGCACTGGGGCTGGGATACCACACCTCTCAGAGTCACTCACTGCCGATGGCCTGAGCTGAGTCACTCCTCTGGGGTGTGGGTGCGGTGGATGGGAGCAGGGCCACCCAGCACCTATGCAAAGCAGCCCAGAGCTTCCTGGACCCTGAAGCAGATGCTGAGCCAGAGCTCAGGAACAAGGCCTCCCTGAGGACACGCCAGGGCCTGCATGGCACCTGCAGGCACCCACGGGGCACAGGCTGGGACAGGCAGGCCCGGCAGCCCAGGGCAGCAGCCTGCGGGGCAGTTCATAGTGCACCAGCACAGCCAGGGCTCAACAGAGCCCTCCATGGGGCCAGGCGGACAGAGGATGGGACCTGTCAAGCCTAGGAGGATGGGACCAGGCCCTGGTAGCAGGAGGGGTGGTGGAGTCCAGGGGAGGCGGGAGGAGAGGCCCCTGCCCTGAGCCCCGGACCTGGCGGGGGGCACGGGCTGAGCTGTTGGAGAGCCAGGCAGCACGCATCTTGCAGATGAAAGGGCGGGATGGCATCGGGGGTGCACCCAGGAACTGGTGGTCCCCGATCCAGACCAATCCTGGGAGAAGCCACCAAACCTGGGGCATAAAAATATGAAAAGCATCTTCTTAAAAGCAACACAAAGCTGGCAAAATATCAAGAAATGATCAGAGCAAGGCTGCAGGAAGGTGAGCCTTCCCTCTGAGGCTTTGCCAGCCAAGGTCACCGGGAGGTGTGGAGACAGAAGAGGGCGGGCTGCACCACAGCGTCCCCACCTGCCCAGCCCCACGGCCCCGGAGTGTTACATGGTGCTGAGCCATGCACCCCTAGCTGAGCCCCGAACAAACTTCCAGGGCCAGTCCTTGTCCCTGGGCTGGGAGCAGGGCAGGCAGGGCTCCAGGGCATCTGGCTGTGGATTTTAAGTGAGCGGCCTTCGTCGGGGCAGGTCACCGAGTGGACGCCCTGACTTCGGGAAGGAATGTGAAGGATCCTCACAACTGATTTTCTTTTTTAAGAAAATGAGGCATTTATAATAAAGTGTGAGAGAGCTGGTGGGAAAGGTGGACAAGCAGGAAGGGAGTTTCAAGTGTTAGAATTCTCAGACATCACCGCACAGACTCCAGGGTCCGTAGCTTCAAATGTGGTTCAGAATCACCGGCAGGGTTGGGAAACCACAGAGCAGGATCGAGCAGCTTATCAAAAAGTAGAACTTCTAAAAAATGAAGCTATAATAACTAGAATTAGGATTTCAGCGGGTGGTGTCCATAGGGCTCCAGACATGAAGACCAGGTTGGAGACGGAGCCACCAGGGGCAGAGGGAGGACGCACTGCAGGCAACCATCGGAGCTTTCTCGTCACTGATTAGTGACACTGGTTTGCAGGTTAGGAAGCCTGATTTTCTTCAAAATCAGTTTGGAGAATTAAAAAAAAAAAAAAAAAAACACACGGGAGACCCAGCACGTCCAAGCGGGCAGATGGGACGGAAGGCTGGCCTTTGGAAGGCAACGCTAGACGCAAGACAGGGCCACAGCCGTGTGAGCGGTCACAGAGGCGGCCCTGGCTTCCGTCTGGCCTGCAGACCCTGTGGCCCCAGCTGGAGTCTGTCCACAAGAGACCGCGGGCCAGCACCACGCAGTTAAGTCACCCCTGGATTCCTGACCTGCGGAAACTCATAGGATAGAAAGTGTTTGCTGTTTTAATGTTTGGAGTACTTTGTTACACAGTAATAGGTTACTACAGAATCCATGCATCCATAATATATATATATATATATATATATATATATATATATATATATATCTCACAGAAAATGTCGATGTTAAATGCAGTTAAAGGAGTATTGTGAATCTGGATTAAAAACATCAAATTTTATGCAGAGAAATATTTAAAACATAAGGTGAGAGAATGGCTGAAAGGGAAAGATACACCAGGCAAAATCAATCCAAAATAAAATCAATAACAGAGTCTGAAAAATATAAAGCAAAAGTGGACAGAATTATAATAGACTGATGCATCCCGCAAAATTCTTATCATACTTTACTTAGTAATTGATAAAACAAGCAGACCAAATAAAGAAAATCGGTAAGAACTGGATGCCGGGATGGCTCAGTGGTGGAGCATCTGCCTTCAGCTCAGAGCATGACCCCGGGGTCCTGGGATTGAGTTCTGCATCGGGCTCCCTGCAGGGATCCTGCTTCTCCCTCTGCCTGTGTCTCTGCCTCTCTCTATCTCTCATGAATAAATAAATAAAATATTAAAAAAAAGAAAATCGGTAAGAATAAAAAGATTTGAACAACACAACAGACCAACCTGATCCCACTTACGATACCCAACAATTGTAGCATACACATTATTTTCAGGCACTGAGGGGAGCTGACAAGAATTGACCACATAAAGCAACTTTCTGCAAACGTCCAAGGATTGTAGTGAGACAGACAATGGTCTTAGTCAAAATATAACTATGCTAACAAGAAAGTAAAAGCTAACTGTAAAACCAGATGCTAATGCATCGATAGGAAATCAATTTGTAAATAATCAAGAAATAAATAAATAATTGTAATGACGATCAGAAACTATTGAACCAAGTAATCCAAAAAAATGCTATATTCAAAAATTTTTGGATGCAGTTAAAGTAGAAAATAAAGAGAAATTAACAGTCTTACATGTACGGGTTTTTTTTAATTTTTTTTTATTTATTTATGATAGTCACAGAGAGAGAGAGAGAGAGGCAGAGACATAGGCAGAGGGAGAAGCAGGCTCCATGCACCGGGAGCCCGATGTGGGATTTGATCCCGGGCCTCCAGGATCGCGCCCTGGGCCAAAGGCAGGCGCCAAACCGCTGCGCCACCCAGGGATCCCCATGTACAGGGTTTTTAAAGATTTATTTATTTTAGAGAGAGCGAGCATGAGTGCTAAGGGCAGAGGGAGAGAGAGAGAGAATCCAAAGCAGACTGTGAGAGGAGGGCAGAGCCCAACTCGGGACTCGATCCCATGAGACCAAGATCAGGACCTGAGCTGAAACCGAGTCGGATGCTCTACCAAATAAGCCACCCAGATGCCCCTTAAATACATGTATTAAAAAGAAATTCTGAAAAGGAAAGGGCCAACGATCCAGCTCAAGAAGTTAGAAAAAGAACAAATGCAAATAAGAGCAAAAGCAAGCAAAATAGGGAATACAAAATTGAACAAAACATTGGTTCTCTGAAAGAGCCAGATGAAAGCTGACAAAACTCTGATGAGACTAGTGAAGACAGGGGCAGATAACCAATAATGGGAACAAAAACGAAGGTGTCATTCTGCATGCTGCAGGATTCACATTCATGAATCCATCAGTGCCGTTCACCACACTAGCAAAATATGTTCATCTCAACAGGAAAGAAGGGAGGGAAAGAAGGAAGTAGGGAGGAAGGAGGGGATGGAAGAAGAAGGAAGGAAGGAAGGAAGGAAGGAAGGAAGGAAGGAAGGAAGGAAGGAAGGAAGGAAGGAAGGAAAAGCACTTTCAGGAAACAAAAGAGAGGGAACTGCCTCTAAAGTGACAAGGTGCCCTCGAGGAAAACCTCCTGCTAATATCACAGATGGACACCTGCCCCCTCTTCCTCCCTGGAGGTTCCAGCTAGTGCAACCAGTCAAGAATGAGTAACAAAGGCATAAAGACCAGAAAGAAGTAAAAGAACTCTCTATGGCTTGATGTGATTATATAGAAAATCCAAAGTCATCACAAACTATGAGAATCAAGAAGTCAATTTATAAGCATTTTGCACTACAGGGTCAATGTACAAAGAACAAGGGAATATCCTATACATTAGCACAAGTAAATGGAAAATAAAATTTCAAACACCATTTATAACACTCACAAGTGGAATCTGAAAAGAAAAAAAGTCAAACTCATAGCAACAGAGTAATAGAAAGTGGCTGCCAGGGGCCAGGTGCAGGGGCGGCAGGGAGAGGCTGGTCAAGGGTCCACACGGGGAGCTCGAAGATGAGTAAGGTCTGAGGATGTGACGGCAAACGTGGTGATGCTGTCTGGAATAGCTGAGATCTGCCAAGATGATAGATTTTATACATTCTTACAAAAAAAAAAAGGCACCATTTATAAAAGTATCAAAATTTACTTATAAAAATACATTTATAAACACATCAAAAATACATCAGATACAGATGAATAAGTTTGATTTAAGCAGTCTATGCTAAAATATTGCAGAGGAAAACTGAAGAACATCCAAATGACTGTTGAGTACGTCACCCCAGACATTGGAAGTCTGCACATCACAGGATGTTAATTCCCCCTAAAAGGATGTGTAAATGGGACGTGGGCCCAGTCAGAACCCCACCAGCTCTTCTGGAAACGTATGAGCTGATGGCAACATTTATATGAAAATTCAAAAGACGGAAAACAGCCAAGGCAACACTGAGCAGGAAGTTGCCGGAGAACTTACACGATCCCATTCCCTGACTTTTTTCCAAACTGAGATACTTAAGGCAGTGCTTTCGTGAGATATTAGCCTAAGAACAGGTAAACAGAAAAATGGGCCAGAGTAGAGAACCCAGACTTCATTCTGGAGAGTCTGTTTCTGATGAGGCGGGGGGCATGAGCCTTCCCGGTAATGGTAACAGGATGTCGCTAAGAAAACCACATGGGCCTCGGCCCCTTCACGCCACGTGCAAAAAGTTGAATTCAGGATGGATCCCAGACCAAAATGTGAGGGTCAAAACCACAGAGCTTCTAGAAGGAGGCCCTGGAGGACATCTTTCTGACTTAGGTGTGGGCCAAGCTCTTTCAGACAAGATGCCAAAAGCAGTAGCCCCGAAAGGGAAAAGTGGTAAGTTAGGCTTCATGAAATAGTTCTACTTTTCAAAAGGCGTCACTAAGAAAGTGAAAAGGCAAGCCGCCGACTGGAAAATATTCTCCATACGTGCATCTGACAAATAAATGCATTACATACATACAAGCCACAACAAGTAAACAACAAAAACATGAATGATTTCATTGAAAAATGGGCAAAAGAATGAGATAGGGACGTCATAAGGAATAACTGGAAGCACAAGGCAGAGCGCCCAGCGCCATCGGCCATCAGGGAAACACAGGTTAAGGCCGCGGTGAGAGGCCACTGCATACCCACCTGCCAGCAGGGCCAGGACGCAACAGTCGTGGCTGCGGAGCGCGGGTGCCGCCGGGGGGCCGCACAGAGCGCAGAGCATCGCACCTGCTAGGGAAAGCCGGCAGCTTCTTCTACAGCAGAGAAGGCTGGAGCAGCAGGTGAGCCTGGCCCGCGGGCGCCAGGGACTCTGCGGGCAGGTGGCTGCTCGGCCGGGCGCAGTGCGCGAGGGGCCACACGCGGGGGGGGGGGGGGTTACACACGGCCAAAAACAATCTGCGGAGACTTCAGTGGGACAGCCGTTGTCCCCGAAGTGCAGAGTGGAAAGGGGCCCAGGGACGTGAGAACTATCAACGGCCTCGATCTGGGTGCTGCGTGTGCAGGTGTAACATGTCAAACTGTCCCCCCGCGGTCTGCACGCACCGCGCGTCAGCTGTGCCTTAAGAACACAGTGTGAAAAGAGGTGCGACCCGGGCGCCTGGGGGCTCGGCGGTTGAGCGTCTGCCTTCAGTTCAGGTCGTGATCTTGGGGTCCCGGGATCGAGTCCCGCGTGGGGCTCCCTGCTCCGCGGGGAGCCTGCTTCTCCCTCTGCCTCTGCTGCTCCCCCTGCTTGTGTTCTCTCTCAAGTAAATAAAATCATTTTTAAAAAAGGAGAGATACTATTTCCTATGGCATGAAAAACCACCAAGTGCCTAAAGGGAGGAAACCTAATGCGAGAGGTGTCAACCCCTACGCTGAAAAACCACAAAACACACCAACAGAAGGAGCCTTAATCAGATGGAGGCGATCACGGTCATGCTCTGAAAGACGCAAAATAAAAAAGGGGTCAGCTGTCCCCAGCATGATGGGCCCTGCCAAGGTGATCCCACTTAGAACCCCAGCCTGCCCCCTGCCCTTCCTTCCTTCGAAGTCCCCGGTTGACCGTAAAATGTACGTGGAAGGACCGAGGCCAAGAACGTCCCTCCCACCCCCGGTGGCCTGCTGTCACCTGCGGACGCTGCAGGAAGGCTCTAGGCCCTGGCACGCCCAGCTGGCGTCTTGGAACGCGTGCTGGGCAGCCACGGGCCCAGGGAGGAGGGCTCACAGGGAGCTGGCCCGAACCCAGCCGGCCGCCTGGGAGCCAGTGCAGCCCGGCCCTGCAGCCTCAGGAGTGGGAAATGTTTGTTCAAGCACCGAGCGCTGGAGTCCTTTGCCATGTGGGATGACTGGGACGCATCCAGAGAGAGTGGTGCTGCGGCTGCGACAAACCCAAAGCAGGTGGCGCTGGCTTTGGAACAGCCCAGTGGGTGGGAGGGAAATGTCACACCCTGGCCAGGAGACCCGTGTGAGGTGGTGACAAAGCCTGAGGCTAAACCGTGGTGACTCAGGACGCAGGAAATCCACCCAATCAGCTCGTGGGCTGGCAGGAAGACTGTGGGACAGAAGGCTGGTCGTCGGTCACCATCTGTGGAGGGGGCGGCAAACTTTCTCTGACAAGGACAGAGGGAGGTCTCTCATAGTCTTTGCTGTTTTTTTTTTTTTTTTTTTTTTTTTTTAATGACCCTTTAAAAAGGTAAGGACCGGGCAGCTCGGGTGGCCCAGCAGTTTAGCGCTGCCTTCAGCCCAGGGCGTGATCCTGGGGTCCTGGGATCGAGTCCTGTGTCGGGCTCCCTGTGTGGAGCTGCTTCTCCCTCTGCCTGGGTCTCTGCCTCTCTCTCTCTCTCTCTGTGTGCCTCTCATGAATAAATAAATAAAATCTTCAAAAATTTTTTTAAATTAAAATAAAATAAAATAAATAAAAAGGTAAGGACTGTTCTCAGCTCACAGGCCACAGAGAAACAGGCTGCAGGCTGCAGTTTGCTGACCCCTGGGCCAGTCTGCGGCGGTGCGCCTCTTGTCACCTTGGCAACCAGCAACGGGCCCATAGTTGGGGTGTTAGGTGGTACCCTGGGCTTCCTGCCACCCGTGTGGCACGACCCAGGACTGGGACAGCCTGTTACCCCCTCACCTGCTCCAGGGGAATGTGGCCAGGCGTGGAGCTGCTTTCTTTCCCTAGCAGCCTCGCACCCCAGTCGTGCCCCCTCTGCTGAAGCCGGCCTAACGGGGGCCCACAAGATTCAAACTTGGTCCCAGCTCTGCCACCTGGATTCTCCATGGAGATGGCATGGTCCTTGAGCACCAACACAGGGCTATGGTCCATCTCCAGTGGAATGTTCCAGATGGAAGGAAAGGATAGTGGAAGGAGAGGAGAACTGAGTTTGTGGCTATGGATGGAGGACCAGAAGGCACATCTTTGGGGAGCTCTTAAAGCCTGGAGGTCCAGGACAGGGGAAGTTTGGTGCTCTCTGTCCTGCGGACCTGGCATGCGGCCCAGAGGGGCAGTCAAACCGCAGCTGTGACAGGGTCTGACCCGTCCGTCCGTGGGCTGTGAAACCAGCTGGCTTGTGCCACGCAAGGCCACCGGGGTGCAGCATGTCAGCAGTGAAGCAAATTTGTATGGGGGAGGGGGTTGCGGGTTGAGTGGACCACACAAACCTTCTCCAGCGGGGGTGTGGGGTGGGGGGTGGGGGTAGCTTGTCAGCCTGTCCACTGTGCCCTATATTGGCAATGACATTGAAGATGAGAGGTCAGTCTAAACTCAGTCGTGTGGGTCTTCATGAGCACCAGACTGGCTGTCTGGGACTTAGAGCACGCCGAGTCCTGGGCTGAGGTCAGGGCCACAGGCTGGCCCCTTCCTGCTACTTGAAGCCTTTGGAAGGTAGCCTAAGACATGTATCAAACTGAAGAGATATGGTGTCAACCTCTGCCAGTCAGATTAATCTGAATGGCCAGTAGAGTGGACACTCATGTCAAAACTCACCAGAGGCTGAGCAGGACTGACCAGTGGATTATGGGGGAGCCTGTCCTCCAAGAGTCTCTTGAGCACCCTGCACATTTTGTTGGGTGTGCCAAGAATGCAAGGCCCTGACTACCCTTTACCTGGGCCATCTCTCAGGGTCATGCATGCAGCGAGTGGTCCTGAGGGATGAGATAGTATCTCTCTCCAGGCCAAGAGCAGGGTTGCTTACTGCCTGCTATTAAAATGGCAGATCCCACATCAGGGTTCCTCAGCTGTGACACAATCTCACTGCGTGTAGCATCCACCTGGGCCGTCTCCCACCCTCCTCGTGGGACTGTCGCAGAAAGGCTGGTGCTCATGCTGTGCCCTGAGTAATGAGCACCTTGGTCTCTGATCTAGGAGTCTCGTGTCATCTGCCAGCATCCAAGAAACAGCCACAGGCCAAGTTAATCCCAAACTGGACTTGTCTTTTTCACTCATGGTTATCCAGATGAAGAGGAGTGATGTAGAATCCAGAGCTGATGCAGAATCATGAGATCTGGGACTTGGAGCTTGATGCCCTAATTGGGAGACTTTTGGAGTAGAGGGCAGTAAGTGTATTTTTTTGATAGGAGGTAAGTGAATACTGATGACCAAGAGATTGGACTATTGTATATTTGGTGATTGTTCAGGACATAGTCACTCCTCTCCTCCTCCTCCTTGTTGCAAAGTATCCTTCCTCGCCCACTAGAGTTTGGCCAGTGCAGTGTGTGCAGATGTGATATGAGTAGAAGCTTCCATATGCTTGCATGGTTTGGCTTGCTCTCTCATGTTTATACCATCTGCTATGTCAAGAAGACACCCTGGGAAGCCATGGGTCCCAGAAGGAGGAGACACGTGATGCAGATCTGAGCCCAACCTGCAGCCTGGAGCCCAGCTGAGCCTTCCCCAGCTGAACCCAACATCGCTGCAGCTGCCCTGAAGGCATGAGAAAAATAAACTCTTGCTAAATAAGCACCACTGGTTGGTGGTGGTGCGGGAGGGGGGGAGGGGAAGGTGCCTTTGTTATGTAGCTTTCTTCCTGCCAAAACCTGACTAAAAAATATAGGCAGACAATTGGAACAGAGTAGAGTCCAAACACAGAAC